GCTAACACCTCATTCTTGTTGAGATGATCCTTTAAAAAATGGCCCGATATATCCTTCCCAGAGCCCTTTGAATCCTCCAGCTTTCCCAGCTTGGAATCCACCTTCGGGCTCCCAGTCTCCTTGCTTTCTTTGTTCTTTAGCTTTCTCTTCTCCTTTTTCTTTTTGTCTTTGAGCGACACGAGAGCTGGGTTGACAGTGCTTGGCTCTCCCATGATGGTGGGCTTTGGTTGAATAGGTTTTAGAGGAGGGCTCTTTGGTGTAGCCTGAACAACAGTCGTCGTTAGAGAGGGCAGTCCCTGTATTGTCCCTGCTGTGGTGGTTGTGAAGGCCGCAGTAGGTATCGCTATCAACTGGGGAGGAGTGGGCGCTGGTGCTGGGGCGATGGGCCTGGCCGTTTTGAGTTTGGAAAGGTTTTTATCCACTTTGCAGTTATTAGCTTTTTTGCCTTTATCACCCAAACCTTTCTTGTCTATTAGCCCTTCAGCCTCCAACTTGGGCATTTCCGTCTGCAAGCTGCCATCTGCTACTGAGCAACTGTCCAGAGTGGCTGCCATGTTAGAAATTACCGGAAGGCTGTTCAGTTCACTGTTCAGACCCTTCTTTTTGCCTGAATTCTTGCCAGTTTTGGGACCGATAACCGAACTGGGGCCATTGCTGGTCAGCTCTCTCTTGCCCTTGGGGGTCCCTGGGGTGGTGATGGGGGAAGGAGATGTCGGTGCTTTCAGCGGATCAAAGCCGGACATATTTGTGCTTGGCTCGCTGCATTCAAGTGCCACGTTACTCAGTGCTTCCTCGCAATCTGAAATTTTGTCTTCACTGTCAGGCTCAAACTCCAGTTTGTTTTCTGGATCTAAATGTGCGTGAGCCTGGTGGTATCGCAGTCCATTAATGTGCTTGTACTTTTTGTTGCAGTTGGGGTGAGGACAGTCAATCAGCACCGGGGAAGAGCAGCCTTGGTCCAAAAAAGTGGTCTCAGGCTTTCCCTGGGGGGTGGTGGGAGTGCTTCTGGAGTTCGTACGGACACGTTTTCCTGATTTATTGTCCTCTGAACTGGAGTTCAAATCTAGCTCCATGGGAGGCTTATTCTTCCTCTTGTTAGTGGATGAGGGGCTGGCTTTGACATCATCCACAGCGCAGTTTGGGGGTGTTCTGCGCCCGCTCGAGTTCAGGCTGCCCCGCCGTCCCTTCCCGTTGGCGCCACCGCGGTTCTTGCCCTGGAGTCCTCTGGACTCTGTGAAGCTTGTGTCACTGGCAGGTACGGCCGCAGCCGCGGCGGACCTGGCCCCCCTCCCCCCGGCCCCG